TTTGGACTATTTAACTTTTACCAGATCAAGTAAATCCTCATAGGTACATTGTGGAAAGGTTGACAAGTGGAGATAAAGCACGCAGAAACTAACGAAAGCATTGGTTTGCATATTGAGACAAATCTCTAATTGTTAGAAAAGATGCTTCAAGAGAAGGAAAACTACTTACCCTTAAAAATTATCTCTACTTATTAAAGCGAGTTATTGCCTTCCGTTAATACTCACAAGATAAAACACAAAAATGTAAAATTCAAATAAAACTTATCCTTTGCATCTAGTGAAACTTCAAATAATACAAAACAACTTATCACCTCTGGTGCTTTAATGGCTTATTGCAGCCTTAAAGTATATTAACTGTGTTACAATCCGGCCCCTGGAACTCTACACAATGCTATGACAGTAACTGCATCAAACAGAGCCTGACTAACTTTCAACACTTGCCAACCGTGCCTACATCAGACCTTTCAGGTTTGTTCTAATCAGCAGGTCTCTCTCTAGACAAGCAGCAGCGATGACAACATTCAGTCTTTTGTTATGAATCATGCTGATTATGATCTTACTTCTCATTTTAACTTATGCTGTTTGATATAAAATCTACCTGCTATTTACTAAACTTCTAGACTGACCAAGTATGTGACAAAATCAGACATAAACAAAATCAACATAAAGCTGTTAGTAAAACGTAAATGTCACTTATCTTCTTTCAAATATGTTCAACTATTATAAGTGTAAAATATTTATTACTACTTGATAAACTGCATAAAGTTTATTTTATTCTCAAACTCTAATTTTGCTAATTAATTCATGTTTAGTAATAATGCATACTACTTAGGGATCTATTTTATTTTTAGGATGGTATTACAAAAGTGAAATTCAGGCATAGATGATATTTTTAATTGAATTTATTCAGTTCCCATTTGCTCATAGGTCCTTAATTTTTGTCATTAATGGTTCTTAAGAGTACTTAATTTCTGTGTGCAGAAATGTGTATGAACCCTGTATAAATTATTTCTGAATTTAAAATAATGTTTCATTTAGTTTTTAATTAATCCAATTTGACTGTTAGTTAAATCTGTGTTCTGACTTTTTTGGGAGTGGTAAAAAATCAAAAGTCTGATCAGCTGTCTTAAAAAGTAGCTTATTAACAAAGACTATTTCTGTGATCATTTATTTCTCAGCCTGAATATTTTTTTAAACTTTTTTTCAGCGCCCCTTAATAAGAGGTAAGTATATTAAGTTCCCTACTCAGAGACTCCTAACAAACAAAGAGAAACAGAAAAATTCTTTTTTATATGTTATTTAAGTGTGGGAAGGCACATGAGGCCTGTCTGCCCAACAAAAGACGGCGACTTTCTATTGAAAAGGGGCTCTTTCACATTATACATGAGCTAATACCCATTCATTATTTATATATGTTTTCAGGAATACTGATCACTTTCAGAAGTGGCCACCCTAGGAAGATGGTCATTATGGCAGGGGTTATTGTATTATGAAAAGTAATGAGTATAACAATAGTTAATATGCTGTGATAATTTTTCAAAATTGGATGAAGAGTTATTCTATAATAAATAAGAACTAATGGATGTCATAAAAGGAAATAATTAATAAAAAAACATTTCATCTCAAAAACACAAGGCCAGATTATCCCTTAATTTGTATATCACTAATCATTTTAAAATTATTTAATATTCCACTTTGGAATAATAGGTGTAATGTTTCCTTCTGATACATATGAGAACATGCAGAGTAGATCTATCTTTTGCAAACATTTTTGCATCCTATGAAAGTGTATTGTCTCAGAAAATATGATCGACGCGTAATGTTGCACAATCGATGCACAAGGTTGTGATACTCGCAGCTGATAAGCTTTGTAATCATAAAACAGCTTCAAAGTTGCTTGCACGTTTCCGTAATGATCTCGTATGAGGTCTAGCTTTTCGTACTGTGTGCCTCTCCATAGTTAAAGCAATTTATTTACTTTGAATTTTTTCATGTTCTATAAATGTGTTTTCATGAAGGTGAATTAAAATATAAAAGTTGAATTACTTTTGTTTATAAGAATCACAAAAAAATAATAAATAAAATTTCTTATTGTCTACCAACAATAATTGATAGCATGTCTACAGTAGCTACGGGATGTGTGAAAGCAAGCTAGTTGTTCCTCGCATAGAACCGATGCAACTTGAGTTTTCCTTGTTTGCACGAAAACCTGAACGCATGAAATTTTATAGATCCAAACCAAATTTTTATGATTATAAGTGCTCTACTGTATGTCAATAATGATCTTAACTGTCCTGCCAATTTTATTTATTATCCATATTAAATAACTATACATACCATAATATATAATATATAAAAACATATATATAAAGCAAAGAGGCTTTGTCAGTTATTTATTTTACAGTATTATAAGGGTTTAATTATTGACATTAGAAACAAGGCTATTTTCAAATAATAACCTGTACACTTTTAGTATTACATTAAACCAGAGTTTCTTAAACTGGTTGGGGGGGGTCGCGGAACCTGCAGCTGGGGTTGCCAAAATTTTAGCAATTTTGATATTTTTTAACTTATATTATATTATAATAATTTTACAATTACCAAATATTTTTACACAATGCATCTGAAAATAATAGGTAATTATTAAGATAATTATCAAAAGATAAGGCAATACAGAAAAATCAAAAACAAAAGCATTTCGCATTCTTTTTGCTCACATGCATATGCGCAGTCGTAAAAGGTCTTACGCGCACGCGTAAATGCCTATGCGCATGTGCAGAAAGTTTTTAGCTTTGAGGTCCGGATTATGGGTGTCCGAATTAAAGACTTTTGACTGTACTGTTAAAGAAGTCCCTTAAAAGAAAAGGTATACAGTGTTTTAGGAGACATAAAAATACATCTTACTTTCTAGAAAATGCGACAGAAGCTAACAAGTACATCTGAGTATAGCAAGAGGCCAGGGTTCTTGAATGGAGTTAGTCCATCACCTTTCTTGGCTGTTTTTTTTTTTTCCCCCTTCTCTAGAATACATTTTCCTTAGATTCTGCCACCTGTGCATAAACTCGTCAACTGTAGTAACTGAATATTTATAAAATTTCAAAGGTGTTCTTCCAAACTGTTTACAAAATGATATTAAGCAACATTTTAAGTGGCACATTTCATTAACATGGAACACAATTAGATATAGGTTTTACAACTTAGTTCAAAGCAGTTGATTTAAAATATTAAGATAATTATCAAAATGTGAGTACTAAATATCAATATTAAATGATAACCATCATTAATTTTCTGAGTTAAGTAAGTATATACAGTACAAAGTTTGTAATCCGGACATCCATTATCTGGAATGATCTATAATCCGGACCTCAAAGCGACAAACTTACACATGTGCATTTAATGCACGCGTCTGCTACGCATGCGCTTAAAGCATTTACCCATGCGCACTTCCGATAGTTAAGAAAGTGACAGAGATGAAGCGAAAACGAAAAAATTTCGATTGACAAGTTAGTCAGTATTCTCGGCACAGCAATTACAGGACTTGAACAGTGGAACTTTGTAAATGAACAATAAATTATGTCTCTTTATAGAATTAAGAGAAAGTATTGCAGAAAAAACAACTTAAACAACTTACATTGAAAAATGAAAAATAAACAAATTTAAGCTTTTTTTTTTTTTTTTTTTTTTTTTTTTTTTTTTTTTTTTTTTTTTTTTTTTTTTTTTTTTGTAAATTTTTACCCTTTGATAATTGCTCTTTATTCATAATTACGTTTATTTTTAATGTTAATTTTTTGATGCCATCTACCAGATTTAAATTGTGATCTAAATCGGGAAAACCCCTAATTCGAATCGCTGAAGTCCCGACAAGTCCTAATTACGGACTTTGTACTGTATAAATATTCTGGTTGCTTGAGCTTTGATGTTAATTCAGTGTCATATAGTCGGGCTTTTACTATAATATTAAAAAAGAAAGGAAAAGAATTTTTTCATTAAAATTATTACTATTAATTATTATTAATGTTAAAAGAATCTAAAAATTTTCTTATTTTATAGAGAGTTCAAACTTTTGATGATCTGTAGAAGGTGATTTGCATTATGCAAGAGACCTAAGTTTTGTTATTACTGTATTACTGTATAGTATGACCAAACTGCTTCAGTCTGTAATAATAAATTAGCATTTAATTTTTTTCCTTTTAATCAGCCTAACTAAACATTACATCTAGCCTAGATCAATTTTACAGGCAAAAGACCACATTAGGAATAAAATAATAATAGTGAGCCATAAATAAAATAGTACTTATGGATATAAATTTTTATTATTTGGAAAATTTAATTCTAATGTAAAAATAAGTAACTTTCCAACAATTTGCAAATTAATGAAATGAATAATTCTCTTTTACATCTTTTACCATTTTCTTTTAAACACTGATTTTTTTTTAAAGATTAATTTTACAGTCCATTATGCTTGATTGTAAAACATTTTTATTGACATTTATGATAGAGTACAAACATTTCTATACCATATATGTAGGTTGATCCTAAAGCAATCAAAAGTGTTACAAGCAAAAAAAAAAAAAAAAAAAAAAGCTCAAGTTTATCAATATGTCTGAATTAAGAAAGCATAAAATTCAAATCTAGAAATTATAAAATAGAGTACAGATTCAAAATACATTACACATTTAAATTTGTTATACTTGAAGAAGTAACAAAAGGCAGAAAAAGTGAGCTATTATTTAAGAAATGTGATTATAGCACATGGACTGTGCAAAAGTGTGCAGCAGACTCTGCCCATCAGTCTTAGTTTACTAGGTGCGCACTGCATTCATCTTTCAATGCATATCACATTATAAAATTTCTGTAGACTATCTTAAGTGTCTATTTAAATAGCTTGTAATATCTTAATATAACAAAATATTAAAAAGCTGCAATAGATGTGTATTTATTAAAAATGTCTTTGATAATTGTATACTATAGTATGTTAATAATCTGTATTTCTACAATAGCTTTCCAAATATGGAATAACTAGTCATCTCATGATGTTATATTTGAAAGACGATTGGATGGTGCCATCTTAGTTCAAGTGTAATGGGGGAAAAGTTAACTTTTCATTGGGCAGATTTAGAAGCTCAGAACATGCAAAGGACGTCAGATTTTGTGCCCATTATATTGTGCCTTCACAGGCAGTGCTACAAATTTTTACTCAGAGGGTCCAGACACCAAAATGGTACTCCATTATATCACAGTAAGTACTATAAACAAAGTTATGCGTATATGTATTTATGTATGTGTGTGTGTTTAAATTATTAGTAAATGATTTTAGCTAATATAAATGGATGAACTCGATAATGTGCTAAAAGCTACAGTAAAATTAGTAGGAATAAAAATTAACAGGTATTTTCTCCCTCCTTTTCTGCATGCCCTCATGGTGTAACGGTAGCACACTCGGCACGTGTTTGAGTCCCAGCAAGGTCATTGCTCATTTTTCATGTTTCCCGCATGTGAAAAATACCAGATGTCTCTACAAAATAAGATAACAAAAATTTTTTATAATTTTTTTCTTCCTTCAGTCATAGTAAATAAATAAAATTATAAAGTATAAAAAAATTATCTAATGAATGGGGATTAGCACTATGCATATGTAATATTTAGTTATGTATTTATATATTAACATATAAATAAAATTGTAAAGTATGAATAATAAAAATTTAAAACTCCGCATTTATGGATTCATATGAGTATTATAAAATCTAACACTATTGATATAGGAAATTTGCATTGAAGATGCACATATTATTTGATTTATGGGACTAACAATATATACCTGAGGCCTCAAATACAGCAATCAAAAGTCTAGAAACAACGCTTAGATTTACATTCATCAGAATTAAATTTATATGAATGTGAATTCCTGTATAACATCATAAAAAGGAGCAATGCTTACACTCAGAAGGAGCCCTTTCTCCATAGGTAATATGCTAAATGCACTTAATCTCTTATGTGACTACTTTAATATAATTATTATTTCTTCTCAATATAGAAAATGATCATTCTGCTGATGCAGTTGAAGATGATACTGATAGAGTGAATGAAGATAATTTGTAAGTTTCGCTTATAATGCTATGAATATTGCTGTATTTATATATGATGTTAGTTAGTGTAGTGGTTTATTTTCAAACTCTGCAGAAAAATACACGTAAGCATCTTTCACTAGACACAAGCATGAAAATGTAAAAAAAAAAAAAAAAAAAAATGCTTCTAATCTTGTCACAAGGACAGGTATCTGTAGAAAGGAATTTTTATTTTAATAAAGAAATTGAAAACTAACAATTTAAAGATTCATCTTGTATGTCTCGATGCATGATACATAAGGCTGGCATTAGACATTTTCCCACCTGTTGCAATCTCTATGGGTCCTAAATTCTGCTGTCTAGTGCCTCCCTAAATTCTGCTTCCAACACCTGCCCTAAAATCTGAAAGTTTTGTCATTTCTAGATTTTGTTGCTCGGTGCATCACTAAATTCTAAAAATTCTACCACACCAGCTCTGTTACGATTTTGGTTAATGGAGCACACATTCATTGTAAGCATAATATTCAATTTAGAAGCAGTTTCAGTATTCATGAAGTTCAAAACAAGATAAGTATCAGCTTTGTACAAACACAAGTATTTATCTTTGTACGAACTGGTTCTTCTTCATCAAACATGATGATCATATCTTGATTTGGTGTATAAAATGTATATAATCAAACTTTTTTTTAAATATTAATTACAAATGCTTTGTACTTGCTTGTACTAATGCTTTGCTTGCTATGCTTTGTAATCATATTTGCTTGTATCTATGGATTAAATATACGAGGGCCATCC